TAGACTGTGTTTGTCCTTTTGATCATGTGAGGATTAAAAAAAAAATCCAAAATAAATGTTATGTTAAAGATGTCTGCTTTACAGTTAAAAGAAAATCATTAAAAGCCATTCCTCCAATCATTAGGAGGATGCGTACTCGTATTAATTCCTACTTCTAATTACTTCATGATATATTTTTGTTCTGGTTACAGCCTAATATATACATATGCAGTCCCTTGTTACGTTAATATATATACATATTTATGCGCTCATCTATAATTATTTAACGACAACTATCTAAACATATCGATGCATTCTCTTCCACTTATCCTTATCAGGGTTACGGGTGGGGCTAGAGCCAATCCCAGCTGCTATATTTAACATCCTACCTCATCTATATGTTAAAACACTCAGAAAAGCAGGGCTATGCATTGATAAAAAAAAAAAAAAGAGGTATATAATATATAATTAGATATATTAAAAATAAATGAAATCACAGCTGGGTGAAAGTTGTGTATTAGCAAAACAGCTGGTTAAACTTTGTAAATTTATTCAACCAAGTGATTTCTCAGCTTCTGGCTGAGCCTGCAGCAGATCAACTTGCTTGTTTTATTAAAGCAAAGATTGTAGGAGCTGAAGCCATCTGTCCATTATCAGGGTTTTCTTTCCTCACGTGCTAATGGAATTAATGAAAACGTTCTGACATTGGACTTTAACTATTCTACATTAAACATGTTGGCCGAGATGACCAGTAAGAGAAAACCTATTTGTTACAATGATAATTCACGGAAGCTCCTTTTCTTTCTAATGCTAGTTTCCACAGCATTGTTAATTTTGACACAAATTTTGATGTAGTTTTTTTGCTAACATGTCATTTAGGTGCAATCATAATTTAATAATTTAATCATCTAAATTCTTTTAGTTTCAGTCTAGTCAACTAAATTGCATAAGCCTGTCACTGACAAAACTAAAGTTGATTCAGCTGAATAAAAATATAACGTCTTAGCTTGTCGTGTTTTTACTGATAGTTCCTGCACACGTTTCATAAAGCGTCTCATTTCCCTTGACATTAAATATATAATGTGTCCATATGTTTGCTCTTCTTCCCAAGCACTGATATTTTGTCATGTTTTTGTGAGAAATGGGGAGCATTGGCATTAGCTAAGAGTTGTGACCAGAGATGGGCAGTAACGCGTTACTTGTTACTTGTAACGCGTTACTGTAATCCGATTACT